AAGATTACATGGAGAGATTAAAACGAGTATCCCTTTGATCAGTGGAGTAAGGTGTTCAAAAGAGAGGTGAAAATAGTGACTGCTACTTCTCCTGACATATGCTTTCAGCTAGAGGTCTTCTGCTCTCTTGCTTTTAGTGATGAGATGGTATTCCATCATGTATTAAAAGCAACTCTAATCATTGATAATGAGGTTTTTCCAGGCTTTTGGGGTGCACAGCACGGTGATCATTATCTTTGTAGATATATCTTGTATATATTTTTAATTTTATGAGATAATAGAACCTGTGCGTTAAAGTTTAATTGCATTACCAAAAAAAAAAAAAGGCTTTCGATGCATCTTCACAAATTAGTCTCCAAAAAGTTGTTCACATTCTTACCAGCAATAAGAGTCCCTGGTTATCCAAGACTGTTGTCCATGCCAAATGTTAAGAATTATTTTTTCAGTTGTTTTAATTTGCATGTTTTAAACGTCCTTTTTGAAAACAAAAATTGTTCCCAGGCTTAAAGCCTTCCACTGCCTTCCCCTCCTTCCACTTTGAATTCGCATTATGCTCTTCCTTTTGGCCTTCCAGTCTGTGGGGCTTGCCCCGCTGCGTCTGCAGCTGCATTTGCCGCAGCTCCGCCCGGCTCGCTCCCTCCAGGCACGCTGGCTGTCTCCCCTCCTGCAGCCCTCCAGGCTCTGCAGCCCCTTCTAGGTCTTCCTAGGCCTTGGTGTGCTTGGCTGCTTTTCATCCAGGTGTCGCTTCTTGAGACTCAGGCTCCTGGACAATCTGAGGAAGACCCCTCCTGTCACTTCTGGTCTCATCATCCCCTTTATTGTCTTCCTAGCACTTTCCCCTTTGAAAATAGTTTACGTCTTGTTTTTGTCCTGTTAGTACCTAAGCTGTGTATGAGCAGGGGCTTCATGTGCCTCTTTGCTTCTGTACCCGCAGGGACAGCGCTAGCACGTAGTAGACACTCAAGTGTTTGTCGTAAGCTCCTAATGTGGTGGAGTGTAATTTTCTAAGTATAGCTGTATTTCTTCCTTTGTGAATTGTCTTTGTTCATGTGTCATTCAGAGTGTTTGCTTTTTTATTGATTTTTATTGATTTGTGAGAACTGCTTATAAAGAATCATTTTTTTCTGTCACGTGCTGCATATTTTCCCCCATTTTCTCATTTGCTTTAAAGTTTTCTTCTTTGATGATGCAGAATGCAGACCTCCAGAGTGCCTGGCCGTAGTAAGGACTCAGTGAACTTTAGCCATCCATTTTCCCGGGCTCCTTCGTCTAAGACGCCTGCAGGAGTTCTTTTTCATTCTGGTTTATTGTCTGATTGACAAGCCTGTTCCCCAAATGATGAATCTCTTGAGTAAACTTGCCCTGTGCGTAAGGGTGCAGCACACTGACTGTGGCAGCCAGCAGGAGCACGAGGAGAAAGGGCCCCGTGCTCAGTGCAGGGAAAGCCATGTTGCAGGAATTAGCTTGCGCGCTGGGGGTGTGGGTAGTGATGAGGGGATATCCGTCTTCCCGTGGTTACTTGGCTGCGGGGGAGCAGGGTATCATCAACAATAAGTACAGAATCTGTTCTTTTTTAAAGAATTGTGGTAAAGTATGCGTAACATAAGAAATACCATCTTAACCGTTTTTAAGTGCACAGTAAATGGCGTTAAGTACGTTACCGTTGTTGTGTAACCGCCACTGCCATCTACCCACAGAACTTCCATCTTCCCAAACTGAAACTCTGTGCCTCTTAGACACTGACTTCCACCCTCCCCCACTGCCCGCTCACCTGTCTTCCTCCTGTCTCTGGAGTTGACTGCTCTTGGGACCTCATGTAAGTGGAGTCATTCAGTGTTTGTCTTCTCGTGTCCGGCTTATTTCACTGAGCATAATGTCCTAAAGGTTCTCGTTGTAGCTTGTATCAATTTTCTTCCTTTTCATGGCTGAATGATAGATATCCCATTGTATGTATGGTCCGCGTTTGTCTATTGAGTTTTTGTTCTTTCTTATAGTATGGTTTTCTGTGTTAATTGTCTAAACATGGGAATTAAATGAATATACGTGACGTGCCTAGATTACTGCCTGAGAGTCTGAGCTCTCAGTAACTGTTCAGTGCTGGTTTCCTCTCCTTTAGATCAGCAGCATTGTCCCTTCAACAGTGCATTAGTAATCAGCAGGGTAGTGGGAGGGACAGGTTGGTGGCTCCTTCACTGAGTCTTCTGTTTTCAGCACAGCCTCCCTTCCCCAGAGGAGGGGAGGGCTGGTTGCCTAGTTGGGTGGGAGGGGGGCTGCAGTGTAAGGATCCAGATGTTTCTTTCAGAGCTTTCAGTCGGTTCTTATTTCAGCGTCCCTTCAGAGCGCTCCCAGAGGCACCCAGCGCTGCCGGTCTTCAGCCCTGCTAGGGTCCTGAGGTTCCAGTCCCTTGGTTCTCTGGTTTCTTCACTGCTGGCTTCAGACTCCATTTTCATGGTTCTGCTTAGTTGTTTACCATCCATACATCTGCTTCCCCAGCTTCTTACATTTTGTTATCTCCTCTTTTGTTTTCTGTTCTTGTAGATTGACGCTTTTTAAAAAAAGCAATATTTTGCATATTGAAAGTAGATTATGTATTTAATCTTCCATGAAAGATTAAACATGAAACATTTTAATCTTGAAACATGAAACAAGAAACATGAAACATTTTTTCATTTTACACGTATCTGTCTGATTCGTTCTTCTCTTTCAGAAGACTGGTTTTCTGGTTTCTTACTCTACGTACTGGCATAGACCTCCAACAGCTCCTATCACAGGAGATAGTAGCTTTAGTTATCGAGGGAGACTGCCGCCTTTTTCTCAGCTCCAGTCGCAGAATTTTCCTGGACAGCTGTGGCTTAGCTTGGTTGGCCGCCTGTCCCCGACCAACCACAGGAGGGTTTGAGGGTCCCAGGCAGCTACACAGCAGCCCTTCCTGGGTGGTGGGCGGAGTGGGCCAGGTTCCTAAGGAAAGAGGAGCTGGTGACCTCCCAGCTCCTGCCTGCCCTTGGCAGGCCAGCTCCGTTTATAGCAGCTGCCTGCGTCGTATTTCAGAGACCGCAGACTGAAAATGAATAAAAGCAGACTCAAGATTCTCCCTCTGCTGCCAGAAGCCTGCTTCTGCTAGTGTTTTCTGTCCTACTGAGCGGCACTGCCGTCCTTCCCGTATAGGCCGGTCATCCTTAGGCTCTTGTGTCCTCTGAGTTCACAGTCAAACATCACCTGTCTGTGTGCTCTAGCTCTTAAATGCCCTGAATCTACCCACTTCTCTCCTGTTTCCTCCAGCTCCTTTGTTCAAGCACTGTCTGTCTCTGTCCTGGACTCCTGCAGCGGCCTCCTAATTGGCTCCAGCTCTGCCTCGACCAGTTCTCCAGGGCAGCCAGAGTGCAGAGCGAATCTCATGTTTGCCTCTCACCTGAAATGGTTGCCTTTCCTGTGATTTGCAAGGGCCTCCACTGCCAAGTTCCTTCTGCCTTTCTGGGCTTGCAAGAGGCCCTGATCTTACGTCTGCACGGGCCACCCCTGCTGCCCCTTATCTTCTGAACTGCGTCCAGCTAAATTGAATTTTCCGTACGAGAGGGAAGCAGCCTCGGCCATAGCTCATTGGTGGTGTAGGGCCCGTGTGACACCAAGGTGCTCTCCTTCCCTTAAATGAGTAAATGTACCCGCCCCAGTCTGATAAGGCTGAGGTAAACTGCTTCTCGTGTTTTTGGTATCTCTCATAGCTCTCATATTGGTGGGAGTTTAAATTTGCAGTTTGGCAATATGTATCGAGTGTTTTACAGCTTATGACTTTACATAACAATTCTAGTCCTGGGAATCTCTGAAAGAATTCATCTAAAATATGGGAGAAGTGCTATGCACAGATATATTCACTGAAATATTTTTTAATGGGGAGTTATAAATGTCTTCCCTGTAGGGGATAACTGAGTAACCTGGTAAATCCTCTCGCTGGACTATTTTTTAGTTACCAAATGTTGAGAAGACGGTAGAGAAACTTAGGTGGGAGGTTGACATTGGCCTTCATGTCCAAGGACTTTTTTCCATCACTGAATTCCATTTGGGCTTGGGTTCTTGACAGCTAGGCCCTTATTTTAAGAATAAAGTCTCATGAAGACAGGCTTTGGGAATCTTGCCTGCTGACCTTTTCACAGAATCCTAGTAGGCAGAGTGGTACATGGCACCGTTGCCACACACTCACATGTGCACTGGAACACCCAGGCACCCACCCACCCGTGCACAGGCCACACACACGTGCACACACACACTTCCCTGAAGGATTCTAAAAAGATAGCTAACTGCAGATACAAAGCTTGTTATAAACTGTAGGAGATGCATTTTACTAAAGTTCAGAGCAGAATGGAAGTTCTGCTAGTGCTGTTGGATATTCTCGATTCTCTGGAGTAGCACCCGTCATCGTCCGCCCTTCCGTAGGCCTTCATCTCCAAAGCGTTGGCTCTCGAGAGTGACAGGAGATCTAGAGAAAGAAGATAGTAATGATGGAGAAAACGACAAGTGTCCAGGTGACCACAGGTCTCAGAGGCAGTGGCAGGAGAAAAGATGGAGAAGCTGTAGATAGAAGTAATGGAGAGTGGACATCTATTCTAGTCTTAAATTTTTTTCCCTTGAGTATAGTCTCCCCAGTTGCTCATTATAAGTTATTTCAAGCATACAGAAACATCAAGAGAATGGTCTTTTATGTAGATACAACAACTACACATGGAAGGCTGCTTGGAGGGTTCCGCTCACGGCATGGTAATGGCAGCTTCCTTGGACAACCTTTCCTTTCCTGCTTACCTTGGTTAAGTTTTTTGCAAAGGAAAGTAGCATTACTGTGCAGTGTTATTTGTAATGCTTTGCTTCCCCTGAAGACAGCTTACTTAGTGCGAGGGAAAAAGAAAAGTGTGATTAGTAGAATTGGGCCAGCTCTTGCCCTAAGCCAGACCCGTATCATATACAGAAGACTGCTTGGCCTGCCTCAGTGCTCTGTTCTTTCCTTTATCCAGGTACCAGCTGGAAGATGAGTCTGCCCATTTGGATGAAATGCCATTAATGATGTCTGAAGAAGGCTTTGAGAATGATGAAAGTGATTACCACAAATTACCACGAGCTAGGATCCTGCGAAGAAAGAGAGGCCTAGAGTGGTTTGTCTGTGGAGGATGGAAGTTCCTCTGTACCAGGTTTGTTCTCTATTGCTGCCAAACCTACACACCAAGGTTACACAGTTATTTATAAGCTTAGCTTCTAAACACATTTGTTTCTATATCAAACTAAAGAAGCCACTCTCTAAATGACATCATGGAGAGTATTAATAACCTTAGTCAAAACCAAACAGTGCTAATCCCAAAGGGACAGAAAGCCAAATTCACTTTTTTGTGAGATGTTTTAATGTTTAAAAGATGGAGAAAATTAGTGATTTTGTAATTACTGCATGGTAGAATTAATTCTGGTCACTGTACTGACATTTATAAACTGTGTTCCTTTCTTTTCTGTCTGTGACTATAGAGGCGTCCCTTGGTATCTGTGGAGGATTGGTTCTGAGACCCAAATCAGTGGATGCTCAAGTCCCTTTATTTTTTCAGTTATACGTATATATATATTTTTTCAGATTCTTTTCTATTGTACGTTATTACAAGATATTGAATATAGTTCCCTGTGCTATACAGTTGGTCCTTGTTGTTTATCTATTTTGTATATAGTAGTGTGTATACGTTAATCCCAGACTCCTAATCTACCCCCACACCCTGCCCTCCCTGCTATCCCCATTGGTAACCGTAAGTTTTTTTTCTATGTCTGTTTCTGTTTTGTAAATAAGTTCATTTGTGTCATTTTTTACTTTCTACATATAAGCAATACCACATGATATTTATCTTTTCTCTGACGGACTCGCTTCACTTAATGTGATAATCTCTAGGTACATCCATGTTGCTGCAAATGGCATTATTTCGTTTCTTTTTTATGGCTGAGTAATATTCCATTGTATATCTGTACCACATGTTCTTTATCCATTCCTCTGTCGATGGGCATTTAGGTTGCTTCCAGGTCTGGGTTATTGTAAATAATGCTGCAGTGAACATTGGGGCGCATGTACCTTTTTGATTTATGGTTTTCTCCGGATATATGCCCGGGAGTGGGATTGCTGGATCACGTGGTAACTCTACTTTTAGTTTTTTCAGGAACCTCCATACCATTCTCCATAGTTGGAGTTGTAAATTGGTTGTACCAATTTACATTCTCACCAACAGTGTAGGAGGGTTCCTTTTTCTCCACACCCACTCCAACATTTATCATTTGTAGACTTTTTAATGGTGGCCATTCTGACTGGTGTGAGGTGATACCTTATGTAAGTCTGTCATGTACTGGATTGGTCTAAGACAGATAGTTCTGTCAGATCCAGAAGCAGGATCTGGACATGTAGGTTTGAGAGTTGCTGTTACTGTAGTGATAGTGGAAACCACCTGGAAGGATGACATTCCTAAAATGGCAGCAGTGTGGTAGAGGTCTGTGAAGGAAGAAGGAAAGGGACCCTTTGGGGAAAAGGACAGTGTTGGAAAGGAAGGCTAATAATCCTTTTCTTAGGCAGCAGAAAAAATAGGGGAGCAAGTGTGAAATAGTGTTGGAGAGGATGACTTTTATCTTAACCTCAGTTGGGAACATTAGTTCATTTAAGTGAGGAGGTGTCTGGGATACACATGAGGACTAAAAAAATGACAAAATTGGTCCTGCCTTGGTAGAGATCATCAGTAATCACACATCTGTATTGAACCCAGCATAATTTTATTACTGTTTGTCCATCAAGGAGAAACGTGAGCCGTTACAGAACCAGCTGTGGAAGCGAGGGTGTGGGCAGTTACGGTGGGAATGGTGGCCAGTGTTGTGAGTTGAAGAGACGGCTGCGGCAGAGGAGCTTTGGGCGGTGCCGCAATTGCAGTTTGATGGATGTGTGGTGTGTGTTTTCCATTAGTGTGGGGTGGAAGAAAGAGTGGGATCAGACCCAGTGGTGCTGTTTGAGATGAGCATTCTCACTGCTGTTTACAGCCGAGAACTAGAAGAGGCCCTCTCCTGATAGCTAAGGGCCAAGCCCGAAGTTGAGCCAGAGTCTGACTTGACTCGCCAAAGCCTTTCCTTGCTCTTTGCTCCGCGGACTGGGAAAAGTGCTAGGACGAGGAGGTGTGCCCCAAATGCGATAGGTCCTGATTTGCACTCTTCAAGCAGATAAGTGCCTGGTCTCACCCTCCTAAAGGGAACCTGACGTGAAGATCAGTGGGACTGAGAAGGCTGAGAATCTTACCTACTGTGCACGGAGGATCCCTGCATGACAGAGTTGCTAGAAACTGGGGACGTGGGAGTGGGTACTGATGGACCTGAAACTTTAAGGTCATAGTCTCGTGCGCATGGTGTGGACTTCAAGAGGGCAGGCCACGTGTTGGAAGTGATACTTATCCATACCAGTGAAACGGTTGCCAAGAACTGTGGACATTGTTGAAGGCCGAGTGCCTTGTTGAATTAATTATTTTTGGTCTTTTACAGGATTTTGTTTTTACCAAATGGAACATGGCCAAGTTTTTGATTTCATTTGTAATATTCCTTTTCTTAAGGAAGATATTAAGAATATATTTGAAAATCTAGGTGTTAGTGGCAAAAACTAACATGTTTTGGGGATATTAAAACAGCTCAGTAATATATACTCGACATGTATATATAGTCTTTATCTTAGTGAATGGTGATCATGTGGGCAGAGCTGACCGAACCATCGTGGTGGCTTCACTCACGAGTGTCTCTTTCCATGTGGACGAGAGTGACCTGAGACATGGCCACACTTCGTGTTCAGTGTGCATCCACTACACCAGGAAATTGTTATGGAAATTAAAACTGCACCTTACAGAACAAACTGTACAGTTAGCAACTTAGATGGGTCTTATTTTCTTTATTATAAATTTCCAGTTTTGAATATTTGCTAACCTTTTTATTTTCTAAATACCAGGCATTATAAAAGTCAGTGTTATTAAGGTTATTAGGCGAAGGATCAAAGAGTAGAAGATATATAAAATTACTTAGTTTAATTGCAGAAGAAAACGTCAGTGAATATTGTAGTAAAGATAGATAGCAAATGATATTAATGAGTTGCAGATATTTCATTGTATTTTTATTTGTAGATTCTGTGAGTAGTCAGGTTTATTTTTAAATTATTCTTCTTCTGGGATTGAGTAGGCTTTAATTTCTTCATGGCTTAAGACCTGCCTTCTCATTTTTATTATTTGGCAAAAATTCCAACTCTGAAAAATTTGACTCTGGAAAAACTTTTTCTGTAATCTGTCTTCTAAACCTTTGGGTGTCCTCCACGTGGGTTACCGTGATGCACACCGGTATGTAGTTCTGGGGGACAGTAATGCCTTTCTCACGAGGTTTACGTTTCACTTGCTATCAAAAATCACTTTGTCCCCATGAAAGTGGAACCCTTGAATGGCATTTCCATATGAAGGGGGGTATCAAATGCTAGGATTGTTCCCGGTCCTAAATGGCCTCTACACTTTCAGTTAATCGGCAACACGTTTGGAGTGCAGAAGCATGGGAAAATGCTGATCTCTTGAGAGGACATGAGTGCTGTGTTGCTTTTGGCTTGGTAACCAAAGGTACCTGTTGGATATAATTATTTACTTATTTGGGAAGGAGGCTTTCTAAATTTTGGAAGTTATTTAATTATGGCCCCTTAAAATTTTACAAGACAGGATCTTGGCATATAAAGATGTGCTTTATTGAGTATTGGAGTACTACTTTGATTGTAGAGGCATTTGCAAAAACTTACTAATCCTAAAATGTTTTAAGAAAAAAGTATAGTTTGTACACTATTGGATTTAGTTTCAATTTGCCTTGACAGTGTGAGGCGATTTACATATAAATGGGAAAGTGTCTTCTGAATACAGAGTAACTGAGGAAACGTGCAGTGCGCATAGAAATGTTCCTGGGTAAAGCTTCTGGTTTCTTTCTTCCAGGGACTCCTCTGCATCTCCTTCTCACTTACCGGTATTTACCAGTATGTTTTACTCTTATTACTTTGCCTTCAAAAATGGCCCATAGTTTTACTTTCTCCCTTAGCTCTACAGCTCTATAAGGCTTACTTACACGTATTTTTTTGGTTACAAGTATTTTCTTTATGTGGGGGGTTTGTCTTCTCTTTCTGGTCATATTTTCTGTCTGCATAATCCAGTGGCAATGCTGGCAGAGCCCCAGGCTTTTAAAACTTCGAGACTGTGTATTCATTTAATATTGTGGAATAGCGGGTGGTTTAATAGTGGCTCCCTAACCACTGCTTGATTCTGTCTTTGCTTGAAGAAATAATAATAAGATTTTAATTTGGTAATAGTAGTAGCAAAGTGTTATGAATAATTTAATTACATTTTGGAAGTCTGGGAATCTTAGTTTTTTCTATACAGTGTTATAGAGAAAAACTGAACTGTTGAGTATGTGTTTTTAGCCCCTCGTATTTAATTTAGTTTCTAGAGTATGAAGCTTTGAAAGTTAATGGGATGTTAGTTTCATGTGCTGCTGACAGTGGTGTAGATGTTGAGGTTTTTATTCTAGCGAATGTTTACAGTGTCATGTGATGAAGACAGTGGTTTTGCATTTATAGAGCTTTTTGCCTGTAGGATATGCCGATACCAGCCTAAACTCTGGAAAATCCACATTTCCTAAGTTTTATTTATATTTTTTTAAACACTGAGCTTTGGCTATCCTCCGTTTCATCTTAAGACTTGTCTGACTTTTGCACATTAAACCATTAGATTAGATAATTATGTGTTTCAGGAGAAAAATTCATATCTGAATACATTCCTGGAGGATTTTTGCTGTATTTGAAATGCTGAAGGAAGTGTGCACACGAGGACTGCTGTCCTAGCTGTCGTGCTTGCCTGAAGAGTGCTTTGTGTGTACCAGCCCTGCTCCAGCGCTTCCCTGGGATGCTGAGAATATTCTAGATCTGTGACGTCCAATATGGTAGCCACTGGACAAGGTGGCTGTTGAGTCCTTGAAAGGTGGATAGGGTGACTGAGGAACTGCACTTTTTATTTTACTTAACATTAATTAATTCCCACTAAAATAGCCACATGTGGCCAATGGATGCTTTATTGGACAGTAACTTTTTGTGCCAATTAGTGTTATAAGTTTGGAGACATTCTGAATGTGACAGCGAGAGGCAGCACAGTGACAGCAGAGCTCTGAGTGCTTTCCCTGTGGCAGGCATTGTGCCAGGAGCTCAGAGCGTGTCACCTGTAACCTCATCAGCGCTTCTGCGGATGAGGAAACAAAGACTTAGACCAGGGGACCACCCCAGTGCCACTTGCTGGGAGTTGTTTCCAAAAGCACGACCTTAAAGTCCACATTTTTCCCATGGAGTCCTGTGGCCTGCTCATGCGTTTTTCATTTATTTCCATCGTCTGTTGAATGGCTGCCGTACTGTGTGCTGTGCTAAGCACAGGCCGTCTGTGTAGATGAGCAGGCGCCGGCCTGCCTGTTGTCCTCGCGGCAGGAGGAACACGGGGTTGAGTGGGGACTGAGGTCCGGGCTGTGTGTCAGCCCTGCCCAGCTGTTGTGCGTACATCGCTCACTGACCTCTGTGGCCTCCGGTTTTCCCTTGTGTACCGTGTGGGAGTTTGTCGTCTGTGAGTGTGGTTGCGGGGGTCTGAGACGAGGAGTTGGTGTTGTAACTGGACAGAGGTGGGCAGTGTGCGCCCTCCCTCCCGGCTGTGGGGAGGTGCCCCAAGGAGAGGCGCGGGTCCGGCAATTTGGTTCCGTGTGGGTGTTGGTGAGGGAGCTTGGGCTGGAGGCAATCCAGGTCCTACTGTAAAAGCAACAGGAAGGTGAGAAATAGTAGTTTGAAGCTTATTATATTTTATTTGAAGCCTTATTTAATTTTTGTCTCATACAAGCATAAACAAGATAAAATATTACCAATATTGACTGAGATCTACTTGACCAGTCCCCTTTCCCCCACCAACAAACAGTAAGGATGGGAATACTTATTTTGACAGTCTTAAATCGTTTAGTAATACTGTGATTTATAACTGTTGGGGATTTAAAAGTATGCTTTATGCGTGGAGATGCTCTCCGTTCTGATTTATTTTTTAAAACGTGATGGCAAGCAGTGATAAGAAATTTCTGCTCTTGGAGAGTTGGGTCTTCTTTGCTCCAATTGAAGCAGAAGATGGGGTGCGGAGAATGTTTTAGAGCTGATCTGCTTGGTATGCATTTGGCGTTCCTGGACCCCCCATGGGGTAGCTCCTCAGGACGGCAGAGCCTGACACTCCTGCGGGCGATGAGCTGTGCCCACGCCAGGAGGACTCCGCAGCTTTCAAAGGGCAAAGCCCTGTCCTTCCAGGATGAAGGTTTTCTGAGCACAGCCAAGAACTAGGTGGATACTTAGTAGGGATATACTGATTTCAGTTTAAACACATAATGTATTCTCTCATACGGGGTGCTGCTGTGGGTGATTTATGAAGTAACACATCTGAGTGTGTTAAAGGGAAGAAAGACGTGCAGTGAATTTGACACATAGTCCTGAGGGGTCAGCCTCATCTTATAGTCACACCTTCTAAGGCTGTCATTATCCTGCAGGATTTCAGGTTAACTCTTGAGCTTGCTTTGTCCCAAGTGAAGTTAGGAATTTCCGCCTTATCCTTCTGGCTTGCAGTTCTAGCCTTGGCTACGTTCAGAAGATGACGTTTAATAACTTCCCTTCCCTTATTAAACCTCTCGGAGTCTTTCTCTGCATTTTGGAAATTTTAATTAAACTGAATTGTTAATACTGAATTTTAAATTCAGGATTATTTTGTGCTTAATAGAGGTGAATTTGATACCTTTTCATCATTTTCTGAAGTATTTTAAGAAAAGTTATCCCACTAGAAACTTTATACTCTCTATTCAAATATGGTGGTTTGGATGTCCAGGAAGGAGAAGAGTTTGTGCTCCTGGAACCCTGAGCAGGGTTGGAGCAGGGTAGATTTAGATTAAAATCTTCGTTGCATAGATGAAGGTAGCCACATGGAAATACAATCAAGCTTTTAAGCCATTAGAATAGTCCATTAAACATTGGTATCCTTTCTAAATACTGAATTGAGCCATACGTCTTAGTTTTATATTAACGCGATCACTTAAAGGAGGAAAAAAGTGACTACTTAAGACAAGGGCGTGGGTCACATCCTAGTTAATTGACGTCTGAGAGCCTTTATCACTGAATCACCAAGTGGTGTATTGAGAATTACCCATAACATATGGCGATTCTTTTCTCAGCATGTAAAGCATTGACTGCTTCAGAATGTTAATGGTTTTATTTTGCCAGTAAGAGGGTCTAAACGGGGAGGATAATTTCCCTGAGGTTCTAGGAGTCATTGCACACTTATTCAAGCTCCTTCAGTATCTTCATGTCAAATTTAAATTAGTATAGCTGACCTGTTTTAAGAAAACCCTTACAGATTAACAGTAGATATGCTATTGGTGTCTGGTAAATACAATCAGTATTGGCTCTGGATATATAGAATTAATTCAAAAACTTTTGAAAAAGCATACGCAATATGTATCTTTTGTTTCATGCAGTTGCTGTGATTGGCTGATAAATATTTGTCAAAGAAAGAAAGAATTGAAAGCTCGTACAGTGTGGCTTGGATATCCGGAAAAGTGTGAAGAAAAACATCCCAGAAATTCTATAAAAAATCAGAAATACAATGTATTTACCTTTATACCTGGGGTAAGATTGTTAAATTCTTGAAAATGGGCTGCATATCAGAGATTGCTAACTTTGTTTTCATTTTTTTCTCTCATTAATTCTGTCGTATCCAAATCAGAGTCCTTTTGCTTTGGAACCATGGGTGTTTCAAATAATTGTTAAGTAATTCATATGCATTTGTAATAGCCACATGATAAGGGTTCAACTCAAGAAAGTTTATAGTTTGATTATTGCCTTCAATTCTAGATAAACATCACATTTATATTATTGTAGAAATAATCAAGTAAAGCTAAATAAAATTATCAGAAAATAAGTCATAAATTTTGTTTGGCTGGGAATTTGTTTGGTGGGAAAAGTGGAATGTATCTAATGTTTAAAGCCTGCCGAGGCTGTCACAATGAAAGTAAAATAACTTTTTACACAAACATGACTCCATAACAAAATATCTATAAGCATTTATAGATTTCTTTTCTACTTCACATTGTAAATTTCAGGCCTTGTTGTATTGTTATGTCAGTAGTTATCTTTAATTAGGTATTATGCTAAATTTAAATTCTGAAGTTTAAATATTTACTACTTTTTTTTGTTGCCAGTGATATTTGTGGCTTAAATTATAAAACTGCGATTATATGTATTTAGATTAGTGGAATTATTTTTGCTTTTTGTGCATCATTCCCTATTTTAATAGACAGATTTATTTATCTTTCTAAAGGCAAAAGAAAGCTGGGACTGATTTATGTTTCCAGTATCAAAGTTTTTGATATGTTCTAGGTGTTAGCTCTTACGCTATTTTGCAAAAACCCCTCTTGATTATGTGAAATGAGGGCTGCTTTATCTTTCATGTTTTTATTTAAATAAGCACGCTGACTTGATATTGGGCATTGATCAGCCCTCACCCCCCCCATCCGTCCAATAGTTGTCAGATGCTTGATGTCTGATATGCTCCTTTATTAAAACACACAAAACTAATGGCTTCATAATTAAAAGACTGACCTTTTGTTAGGACAATAAAGTGTAAACTCGCTTTCAGGCAGATAAATATTCTCATCTTTATTGAATGAAGCTACTGTTTTCTCCTTAGGTTTAAATTATTAAATACTCCCACGTTGGCTAAGTGTTGTACATTTTCCTAAAGCCCTCCAGAAGTTCGCTCAGCAGACAATCACGTCTTGATTGCAGTGGTTTAAGGTGGATCGGGCAGCTTAGTTTTGATCCGAGTGAGTTCACTTGGCTACCAGGACGGCTGTCCAGAAGAGACCTGTTGATGTGTCTGTACAGCTGTTACCGTGGGAATGACTTTTTTCTTAGATTGTCTCTTAAATTAGTCTTTTCATCTAAAACGTAGTATTTTAGAAACATTTGGTAATTGCACAGTAGGAATTCTATGCCATTTTTAGCACGAATGGCAATTTCCGAATTGCTAGTAGATATAATCTATGCTAACTGAGATTTGAAAGAAATCACTGAGGAAAAAGAGTTTTCTCTCCTGCTAAGATTAATTTATGAAATGATTCAAAACATTTTTAGACTGCAGTTGAACATGATTATGAATATAAATGTGTCATTGATGTAACTGATGTTTTTAGTCATACACATAACTGTGTGATGATGTGTATAACTTCATTATATAAAAACTGTGGTTCCAGACTCTTTAAGTCAACAGTAAGTACTTAACGCATTGCTCTGCCCTTGTGAAAATTTCTGTGCCTTCCACGTTGTATTAGAAAATGGCATCCCAGGAGATTTTGATTTGCAGTTTGCAAGTCTGTAAGTTTCATTGTAATTGTAGTGTTGAAGGTCAGCTACCGTATATCAGCTATCACGTAAAGAATATGCAGGTAGCTGTCTTCCTGAAAATTGGTCTGCAATTTACGTATTTTTATATTTTATCATTTCTTATACTTTGAGGGAAGTAAATACAGGAGATTAAAGTAGGTTTTTGTGTGTGTGTGAAGTCATACCTGTACATGGTTTGCTTGTTCACTCGATCTTTCTAAAACTACCTAGATGTCCACATTCAGAAAACGTGGCTATCATGTTTTATTGTTTACCATTTCATAAATACAAGGTTAACACCACTTTTCCATAAGATTTTCTGAGTTGATATGAAGAGATACATTTGTATATCTATATTAACTGACTTACTAACATTGGGAAGGTTTTGCTGTCTCATTTGGTGTGCATGTAAAGATTTATAGAAGATGAGTGTGGGAACCTGGAAAATTGCATGCAAGAAAATAAGAAACTTTTAGAGGACACTTAACATAGTTGAAAGTTCTAATTGTCTTTTTTTTTTCAGTTTATTTTAAATATAATTTGGGGTAACCTTAGCTCTTTTTTGTGATTTAGTTATTGGAAAGCCATTGTCAAAATTAATGTATTGTGACTCAGGGCATGTTTTCACTGTTTGATGGAAATACAGTTAGATATTATGTTGATTTTAATTATTTAATTAAGATATGAAAGATTTTCCTTGAAGAGATTATGTTAATTTTTTCTTTTTCTTTTTAGGTTTTATATGAACAATTCAAGTTTTTCTTGAATCTCTATTTTCTGGTAGTATCCTGCTCACAGTTTGTGCCAGCATTGAAAATAGGCTATCTCTACACCTACTGGGCTCCTCTGGTAAAAAGAAAAGATTTTTGAAATTAAGTGAAATTATTAAGTATTTAAAATATAGCTTTAAGAGTGGAGATGGTTAAAAGATAAATCAATCGTATTTTTAAAATGTGATATGTTGCTGTGTGTCACTGAACTTTTGTTACAAGGTTTCACAGGAGTGTGAGGGCAGCGTGCGGCGCTAGGTTGGCTGGAGAAGCTACAGAGCACCTTTGCTGGTGGGGCTGGGCGTTCTGTCGGGCCCTAGGGTGGCAGCTGTGTGTCCCCAGCCCCGCTGCCCCGTACTGGAGGAGCTCTTGGGAGAGATGGGGCGGGCCTGTGCGAGTCTGCCCAGCGCCTCTGACATCCTGACGGGTGGGCAGCTTTTCCCTCTGCCTGATGGCGACAGTTCTGAAGCATCTCAGTGAAGTCTGGCAGCCGCTGGTTGACAGCTTGGGGCGTGACATTTTTGGGAAGGCAAATGATGTTTGTCATTGAATATTTCCATCTCAAACATGCTATCTTGATAGTTTTATACTGTTTGCAGATAGTTTTCATTGCTTTTCAGTTTACAGAGGTAAGAGGTATGTCTCCTTCCTTCTTTTCACCTAGAAGCGGGTACTGCTCCCTTTGGTGTGCTCCCTCCTGGGCAGATCACCAGTGTGATCTGGGCAAGAAAACATGGCGAGTGAGATGATTCCTGTAGCGAGGGAGCAGGGCAGTGCTCAGGTTTCCCGCCCTCAGAACTGGAGATCGGAGCCCTGTGCTCTCCAGTTGATCTGTTCTGCTTCGTGCAGCCCTGCTGCCTCTGAGGCTGTGCTTTCAGGTGCGGCAGGAGGGCTGGAAGCGGGGGTAAGTTTAAGTCCCTCTCCGGTTCCTGTTCACGTAGACTTTAGGGTGGCGTGGGTCTGAGCAATGAAAGCAACTTATGTGTAATCTAGATACAAAATTACTGAATAAATGGATACCTTTTCCACTTGTTGTATTCGCCAGATCAACAGAGACGTTGGTGCTGATGATGTGAAGCTGTGATTCTCATCCACTGTTGTGTAAACATAAATCTATACAGCCTTTTTTTGGAGGATAGTTTGGAAATATATATAAAATGCCTTATAAATGGATTCAGCATTTCTATTTGAGGAATTTATCTTAAAGCAATAATGATCAGTCATAGAGTCTAAAGAATGTCTTTACTAATGTCTATTATTATTCTTTTTAAAAAATATTTATTTATTTGTTTATTTATTTATTTATTTATGGCTGAGTTGGGTCTTTGTTGCTGCGCGCGGGCTTTCTCTAGTTATGGCGAGCTGGGGCCACTCTTCCTTGCAGGTGCGCGGGCTTCTCATTGTGGTGGCTTCTCTTGTTGAAGAGCACAGGCTTTAGGCGTGTGGGCTCAGTAGTTGCGGCTCGCGGGCTCTAGAGCACAGACTCAGTAGTTGCGGCGCAGGGGCTTAATTGCTCCGCGGCACGTGGGATCTTCTCCGACCAGGTCTCGGACCCATGTCCCCTGCATTGGCAGGCGGATTCTTAACCAGTGTGCCACCAGGGAAGCCCTATTATTCTTGATGACAAAATTATTTGAAAAGTCAAATGTCTAACTGGATTGTTTAACTGTGCTTTATGCCATGCATTGTTGGAATACTGTGCTACTGTGTACCTTTGAAAATGATGTTTAGAAAAAGTATTTAATAACACTGAAGGTGTACATATTAGAAAAATGGGGAAAAATGGGTTAAAATATGTATGGAATGAAATACACAATTCTTTGATCAGCCCCCACTGAGTTCGTTTGTGTCCAGCACTAGTGAAAGCAGTGTTGATTCAATTGTGAATAAGACAAACCCTGTCCTAATAGAGCTTATATTCTGGGGGAGAAAGACAATTTAAATGATCCGTCATGCCAGGAAGCCTGCCATGAAGCCGTGAAGCCGAAAATGTAAAGCAGGATATGGGGGTAGAGAATGACCGGGTTATTTTAATAGGGTGGCTAAGGAAGTCGCCTTTGTTGGGGTGGCATTTGACGACATCTGGATGATAGGAGGGAGTGAGTGGGCCGTGTGCAGAGCAGGTGTTGCAGGCAGAGGGCACAGTAGTTGCACAAGGTCTGGACACCCTGGAGTGTGTGGACGTGCAACTCTGGTGGGAAGGGGGCCCGGAGGGGTGGTGGGCGCTCAGATTTCATCCTGAATAGGATAGGGGCGTGTGTCTGTGTGTTGCATATGTCACACGAGGGAGAACACTGAAGCTTACACCACAGTTTTAAAAGTTGATCTTAAAGCCACACAGCCATGGAGAGGGAACATAGGTGACTTTTCCTTCTTTCTTTTCTCTCACTTTTCTTCTCATTGGAGGTAACCTCTATTCTGAATTTGAGATTAAATTGCTGTGTATCTCTTAATAATTTTGCTACTTATGTTTGTATTTTTAAAACAAGATGCACTGTTTTGGCATGCTTTAAAAATTCTATGTAACATTTGTCTTGCTCTAAGTATCCTTTTGTAACATGCTTTTTTGACTTTACATTGATTTATAAAATTGACCCATGTGGACACACATATCTAGTTCCTTCGTTTTTCACTTCTCTAAAATATTCCATTGTGTGAATGTATCACAATTGATTTGTCCATCCTCTTGGGAAAGGAGACTTTTAGGTTGTTTCTAATTGTTCTCAGTTACAGACTGCTGCACGATCAGTCAAATTGTGTGTTATTCCTTACACACTTGTGCCAGAAATTCTGTAGGCTGTATGTGCCCTCCTTAAAAGGGCTGTTTATTTTGTCCATTTTCTAATAAAAGCAGTCTAGCATTACAGAAATTTTAGAACATAGAAAATATACTTGCTAATGCTGAAAACACAAACTTATTTATGGTTTTCATGTGTTTATTTCTAGCCCCTATTTTCTATTCCTAGCAGTATTTACCATTTAAATAGTATTTTCTACCTTGGGTTAAATTAATTTTAACTCAAACAGTGAGTATCTGAGAACACAAATTCTTCTTAAAAATCTGAAGTAAAATATATTCATTTGTATCTTGCTTTTGTCTCTGGCCTTTTTAACTCTGATTTAACTAGCTTTTAACCAAAGAAAATGTTCTATTTTGATGGATTCTTTTCGAAGAATTCAGTGTTATCTGTTCACAGATTGACCTTGTTGGCCAGGCTTGGACTGAGTGCACAGCATACATGGGCCTCTCTAGTTTCTCTGTTCTCTAACGAGAGCTCATTTCCAGTTCTAGATTGGATTTTAGGTCCTTTAACTTGAATTCTCAGGTTTTTTGAAGTACTTTATCATTTTTTTTTGACATGAGAAATAAACTTTATTATATTTAGATAAATACCTCAGTACGAACCTCAGTATCCACATAAGGGGACCGTTATTCTGCTGTGATTATGTGTTCGTGCTCCAGAGAGCAGAGAAAAGCCCCTCCCCTTCTTCGATTCGGGCAGGGCCTCGACACGCGGGCGGGCGCTCCCCTGCTCCGCTCTGCTGGCCGCCACACCCTCAGACCTGGGTTCCCACCCTTCCCTCTGCTCCTGGGTTTGGCAGCAGCCACAGGTGACGCCTCTTCTCAGAAAACACATAATGAAGGTTTGTCAGTATCTTTGCTTGCACTTTTTACATGCATTTTAACCTTTGACTTGGCAAGAATCTCACAAAGTTGATGTGCGCATTGGGCTCACTTTTGAATCCACGAAGCTGACTTAGGGTATATTGGTTCTTTGATCCAAACTCACCTCACAACACCTTTTAAATTTTTGAAAATTTAGATACTATCTGTAGAAGATCTTTTTTATTAATCTGGGCAAAGTTAAAGAACCTTTAAACTAAATCTAAAATATACATGTGTATTTTTTTTTTTTTTTTCTTTACCAAGGGAAGTATTCTTGATTTCTTCCTAAGCCCTTGTTCTTTCTACGCCTGTGTATCTTACCCTGTCCCATCCCAGGGCCTAGAAGAGCAGGGATCTTCATATACACATTGAAGCTTTTGACATCTTTTCTCTGCTTGCACTCTAAGGTTCTGTAAGTTGCCCAAAAGAGGAATCAGTTAGCATTTGCAGTTTTCTCCTAGCCAAAAACCTGCCAGTGAAGCATAAAAAATCTTAAAGCTGGTGATTATGAAGTCTTATGTCTGATGTCCACTCATTTTAAAGAAAACAAGTTAATGCAAACTTAATCCCTCTGCTCTCTATCTAAAATTAGGATGTTTCTGAAAACAGTGATAGCTTAATTAATAATCTTTCTATTTCAATTACTCCTGGCAGTGTTGTTTACTGGCTTCAGGTCTGAACTAATTTCTGTTATATTTTGTTATATAATAGGAAGAGTAAACTGAAAATAAGTGATTTCATTACATTGTATCAGAATGAATATTACCCTTCATACTGTTCAGATTTCAGAACACTTCTTCAAGGCAAAGCTGCTGTAATCAGAGTAACAAAATGGGTTGTAATGCTTCTATCAAAATTAATAAGGTGGAGTAGATCTATCCATACAAAAGGTTTTTAGATAAAGAAAATATGGATTTTTTAATCTGTACATCTTCCATATAAAATATCTTCCTGGTGCTCTGTTAATACATAATTGGAAACCAGACAGGCTGTGTAGGTTGGAAATCAGTCTGTGGGGGACTCTGATTTTCAGCCTGATTTTAAAATCCTTCCTTCTATCCACCCTTTCTTGTGAGTGTCTCTGTGAATTGGAGGTGTGGGCAAAGTATGAAAAGGAGAAAACAAAATCAATCATTTGGAATCCTGCCATCCAGAGACAACCACTGTTTACATGAACTTTGTGACCCTGACTGAGTTACTTTTTCTTTTTGTATTTCAGTTTCCTTATTTGTAAGTTAGAGCTAAAAGTACACGTCTTCTAAGGTTTTTGTGACATTTAAAAGGTAATTCATTTAAAATATGTAGGAGTGTCTGGCATATAATAATCCCTCAAAGGTAAACTGATGTGGTAACATAATAAAATCTTTTTTCTCTTTGCTAAATTATATATTGTTTTGACACTCACTCCATAT